ATCTATATTTTAAAATATTTCATTGGCTAAAATAGGAAAAATTATTTAAAGGATTCAAAAGTGGGAGGGGTGACCAGTAAGACTATGACATGGTTCAGGTGAAAGCTCACAGTGGCCTGCTCAGGAGCTGGTGGTGAGGGAAGATTTGAAAAGAAAAGTGATTTATAGACATTCTCATGGGTGGTCTGGGGAGGGTAATAATACACAGCATGAGTCCCAGGGTCAAATAAATTCATTATGCTGGTATATTTTTCTTTCTTTCCTTTTTAAAGTTTCTTTCTCCTTTTGTTTTTTCCTCATTCCCTCTCTGCCTTCTTCCTTCCTGCCTTCCTTCCTTCCTTTTACAGCTGGGCCAGGCTTCCAGAATCACCTTACAGTCTTCCCTGTAGATGCAGAGGCCCAAGCACTCTGTTTTTCATTACTTTCCCAGACACATTAGCTGGTAGCTGCATTGGCAGTGGAACAACAAGGACTTGAACTAGGGTCCATATGGGAGATTTTACCTGCTACACCATGGCACTTCCCATATTTTTTCATGAAACATTTTCACATCCACTATCTCACATGATCTGAAGAATTTGATAAACTAGATAAAGAAGGATCAGTATTTCAATCTCATTGGTGAGAAAATGGGTTCAATAAGAAGTAAGCATTCATTTCAATGAATAATTTCATTCATTTTTCTGCATGAATCCAGAAAAATTCTAAGAAAACTAGTGAAGTGGTAGAATAGCTTATTAAAATGATGTCATCAATGAAAGAATAGAATCAGAGCCCAAACCACTCCAAGAATGAGGTAAAAAGGTACCTCAGAGCCAACCTACATGCAGGCTGTGCACACACTAGACATTAACCTGCAAGGTTTATGGCAGCAGAGGCCCATGTGGGAGAGTCGTTGTGAAACTGTTACCATGAAGGACTATCTATGCAACCTGCTCTTAAAATGCTGTTAAGAATTTCTCGTTCCAGGTATAGCAACTGGCTTGTGACTATCCCCTTTGTTGAGGAAAACTAGAAATACAGAATATCTTAAGGACGTGTTTGAAAACAGCAAGAATTTGAGGCAAGCCCTCAGCATAGGGGTGATGGTAGAAGGAGGAGCCGCAACTGTGGTCTGTGACACATCTGCTCCAGCTCCCTGCTAGTGCGCCTGTTGCCTGTGCTTTCCTCCCAGCCAGCCCCAGCCTCTCCAGGCTGGAGTGAGTGAGAGCCTCCTGCCACTCCCTTGAGCTTCAAGCCAGCTAGTGACACTGAAGACCCCAGGGTAGATACCCTAAGAATAACAGGCAGCAGTATGGCCTCATGGGAATTTGGAGTTAGATCTTTCTGTGCAATCCTAAACTTAGTCTCGAACAGATAAGGTCCTTTGAATGCAAGCATATGAAACTGATTTTACTCAATTTGGACAAAAAGAGAAAAAGTAGGAGGCAGCCCTACCAAGGAAAGCCAAGCTCAGATCCAGGAGAAGGTTGCACCAGGATAGCTTATAGGTGGAAGCAGCTGGTCTCCCTCTGGGTCCCTGCTGCTGAGGTGGGTGAACCCCAAGTTTCTCTTTTCCCTGGCTCTGGAATCTGTGTCCCAGGAGGAGTCCAGTTGGTCCAGTGTGAGTCACATACCCAGTTCTTGGCCATGGGCAGGCAGGTCCTCTTGGCTGACAAGATCTGGAGATGAACTGAGTAAGAATAACATTGTAAGAATAACATTGTACTGAATCAGGCCTGTTGTGGGGGGCTGCTTAATGTGTGAGTAATTGGAGATGGGTTGGGGAAGACCCTGTTTGCTCAACTGACTCCTCTCTCCTCGCAGCCTAGAATGTTCAGTGGAGAGCCACTTAGTTAACACTAAAAAATGAGTCATAGGCCAGCTTTGTGGTCAGTGAAGGTCCTAACGCAAAGGAATGACACTTCAGGTTCCTGGGGCGGACCTGGGTGGAGAATTCACCATTTGTTCTTTGAGTACTTCTTAAATCCCAGGAAGTAAGGGCAGTTCCACAAACAAACAAACAAATAAACAAAAACAACAAAACAAACAAAAAACCCCAACAGAATCAGCTGAGCCCTGTCATTGTTGGCAGAGAGAGAAATGCCTGTAAATGACAGCTATCCAGGCAACTTAAACCACCATCTGAAGTTCTTCACCTCGCTTTTGCCTCACTTTTCACTCTGCTACTTTCTCCCTCTGAAAGACTTGCATGCAACTCCATGCTTTCTCCTTCCACTTCTGAGTCTGGATTGACTCAGATCCCAAATCCTTTGACTATTATTCATAATGCTTCTTCCTTCAGGAAGCTTTCCTTAATCCATCATCCCAACACTGGACTGGTTGACCCTCCTGATGCTCCCACAGCATCTTGGGTATTCTCTTTATTTGGTGTCATCAACCTCCTATTTATTGTTCAGTCCCTATAACCTTATTTGGAGCTTTTTTGAGTCCTCAGTACCGGACTAGCTCAAGACTTGTCCCCTCATGGAAACTCAGTACATATTTGTTGTGTGAAAGAGTTAATGGCTGTAGGGCCTGCTGTGGGGCCTAGAAGCTAGAGTTCCAGCCTTTCACACACCAGGATCCTGGGCACCGGTTCTGATCCTGGCAGCCCCGCTTCCCATTCAGCTCCCTGCTTGTGGCCTGGGAAAACAGTGGAGGAAGGCCCAAATCCTTGGGTCCCTGCACCTGTGTGGGAGACCCGGAGGAGTTTCCTGGCTCCTGGCTTTGGATTGGCTCAGCTCCGGCTATTGCAGACGCTTGGGCAGTGAATCATCGGATGAAGGATCTTTCTCTCTGTCTCTCCCCCTATCTGTATATCTGCCTTTCCAATAAAAATAAATAAGTCTTTTCTTAAAAAAAAAAAAAAAAAGAGTTAATGGCTATACTGAAGGACTGTAGTATTGTAACAATATGGGGAAAATCAGTTGTGGGGTGGGAATTTGTGGCAGGGGGCAGGGGTGGGAATCCCAGACTGCAGAATTGTACCATAAAATATAAAATTAAAAAATTTTTTAAAAGGAGGTAATGACTGTGATGTTAAAATCAAGATTCTTGACAGAGTTCAAGGGCGTGGTAGCTGAAATTGTCCAAGTACTACGGAGGTATTGAGTCTGTAAGTCATTTCTCTTCGTGGTATTTGCCTTAAATGATTTCTTATGATTGTCAGGTAATAATTATAGGTTGAGATAATTGTAGGTTACTTCCATCTGGCTCCCTGGCCTCCAGCTCCTGGTTCTCAGCCCACTCTCTTTAACATGACTATCAACCAACTATACCACACCCTTTTCTCCCTCTGATGAACTACACTAACCCTTTGTTTATACATAATGGAAGTCCTTAGCTTTTTATTTAATGTGTAAATATCCATTTACCCGGACAGCTGTCTCAGTAGGAAGTCAAGCCTGGAAGGCAGGTGTATCAAGCCTTTATTTGTGTATAGGACTTTGCACCATTACTTGAAAAAGTAGGTTTAGGGCCTAGCACCTGAAATCTTTGCCTTGAACATGCCAGGATCCGCTATGGGCACTTGTTCTAATCCTGGTGGCCCTGCTTCCCATCCAGCTCCCTGCTTGTGGCCTGGGAAAGCAGTTGAGGACGGCCCAAAGCCTTGGGACCCTGCACCCCTGTGGGAGACCTGGAAGGAGTTCCTGGCTCCTGGCTTCAGATCCATGTGACCAGCCATTGTGGTCACTTGGGGAGTAAATCATCAGATGGAAGATCTTCCGCTCTGTCTCTCTTCCTCTCTCTCTCTCTATATATATATATATATATCTGACTTTGCAATAAAAATAAATCTTAAAAAAAAAGGGGGGGCCCGGCGCGGTGGCGCAAGTGGTTAAAGTCCTCGCCTTGCACGCCCGGCATCCCATATGGGCATTGGTTCTAATCCCGGCAGCCCCGTTTCCCTTCCAGCTCCCTGCCTGTGGCCTGGGAAAGCAGTCGAGGACGGCCCAAAGCTTTGGGAACCTGCACCCACGTGGGAGACCCGGAAGAGGCTCCTGGCTTCGGATCGGCATAGTATTAGCCCGTTGCGCTCACTTGGGGAGTGAATCATGGGACGGAAGATCTTCCTCTCTGTCTCTCCTCTCTGTATATCCGCCTTTCCAATGAAAAAATAATAAAAATAAATCCTTAAAAAAAAAAAAAAAGGAAAAAGAAGAAGTAGGTGTATCCAAGAGAAAATAATGACTGGAGTCGCCTTGTGTTCAGTCTGACCCAGGAAAGGCAGAACACAAAAATGCATACCTTTGCATTATTCAATTGGCTTTCTCTTTTAGCTGACCCAAGGTGATCCTACACTACAGTGCACTGGTGGACTATGAGTGGAGAGGCTGAGACCTCTTGGATGTGGGAAGGGGTTCAAGGGAAGGTCAAGGTGAAAGGCATCCCAGGCTTTTTCCCAAGACACCAGATGGGAGGTGGTAGAGATGTCTATGGTGTTGCCCATGTTCCTAATGGGATTCATATACTATCTGTAAGAATCTTGTTTGTTGACATGATTATTGTCTATCTTCCCCACCCCCAGGAGAATGTGGACTTTGTTTACTGCCTCAGACTAGTAAATAAATGTTTCTTGAATGAGTGAGTATGTTCAGGCACTGACACTGTAGGATGTTCCCAGCATCCAGGAAGGTGACAGGGAAGTGATGATAGGAAATGAGACAAGGAATGAAGTTTATTAGTTGGAGGGAACTAGCAATTAAAACAATAACATGACAGTAAGCAGTTTGCCTCTTTCCTTGATGTCTGAGGGATAGCAAGTTATGGCCAAGTCCAACAAGTGTCGTGTGAACTCTGTGCCAAATTGCACTTTGGAGTGGGATACCATGGAATCCTTGCACCCTGAACAGAGTGCTGGGGAGTTGTGCAAATGGTTCAGGAAATGAGCCATCATCAGTATCTCTTGCTGCTCATGTTGGAACTCTGTGTTATATAGGCAGAAAGGCACAACTTGCGTTTGAATTTGCTCTTTTCGGAAGCTTCAAATGCATACATCTGTCTCACTGCCTCAGAGTTTACAACCCACAGTCTACATATACGTTCCTGTAGCCTTTGATGTCCTTAAACTTGTCACTCTTCAGATTAGCTTGGATCTGCCTTTGGCCACTCTTGAAAGGAACAGTCTTCAGAGTGATGCTTGCCCTGTGTTGGGGCTTGAGGACTCCGATGCTGCAACACAATGGAAAATATCAGAAAGCCATAGGCATTAAAGTAACTCCAAAACCTTTTCCCCTTATGTCCTGGCTCTCTTTGCTGGTGTTCTAAGAACCTGACCTGGGAGCCCATGCTAATCCAGGATAAAAATGGAGAGAAGGAGGGCTGGCATGGAGGTGTACTGGTTTAAACACCTGTAGCACCAGAATCTGATTTGAGTGCTTGTTGAAGTCTCATCTGTTCCACTTCTGATCTAGCTCCCTGTTAATGACTGGGGAGGTAGTGGGAGATGGCCCAAGTGCTTGAGCCCCTACAGCCATGCAGGAGAACTAGAAGGAGCTCCAGGTTCCTATCTTTGACCTGGTTCAGCCTTGGCCATTGGGGCCATTTCAGGAGTGAACCAGAGGATGGAGATTGCTCTCTGTCTTTCCATCTTTCAAATAAACCAATAAACTTTAAAAAGAAGAAGAATGTCCTCATTTTAAAAAACCACAGAAACAAACACACACAAATAAACAGACAATTGGGGGTGGGTGTCAGTAAGAGGGTAAGATGCTCCTGGGACTTACAGGACTCTCTGCTGTTTCTTGAAGAGGCCACTGCCTTCCACAGTCAGCACACAATTCGCAACCTGCTCTGAGAGGGGGTTAGAAAATATCACCTGAATGGAGAGTGGCTGGTTCACAATGGCTGCTCCTAGGACCTGCATAGAGAACCGGAACAGGACGTCAACTCGACTCGAATGTGTCATTTGGGCAAAAGGGTTATTCTGAGCTGAAGCCAACTGAGGGCAAGCAGAGTTATCCGACCATCCTCCATTTCTCTACACACAAGACAGAAATCTACAAAGGTGTCCCTCTTCCCGTCTCTACCAGGAAGGTCAAAGACAGGCCCTGATCCATCTGAGACAAAAACAGAGGAGCTTGACTCACTAACCCTGGTCTACCATAAGGTCCCCATGGATTTTTCTTCCTACAGTTTGCCCCACTGGAGACTCAAGGTCGTTTCTCTGTATCTTATCAGTTCTCTGTGTATTTATTGCTTCTTTGCTAAGATGGTATGGAGGTCCAAGTTCAAACCAAACCTTTGATTATACCTCCCTCAACTCACGTAGAGAGCCGCAAGGGTGCAGGAAAGGATGTTTGGCTTTGGAGAGACAGCACTTGAAGGAAAGGGGGCCCTGAATCTCTTCTTCCCATTCAGAAGACCACCAAACATCAGAGCAGGAGGAGTCTACAAAGGCCATCCAGCCTAATTCACTTTAAAAAGCAGAGGCCCAGTGGCTTGTCCAAGGGGGCACTGCCAGAAAGTGGCCAGTCCAATCAGAGCTGAGTTTCAGGCAGAGCTCTCACCCCAATATGAGCCCCTCCTCTCTTGTCTCATGTTTCCACCTGTAGAGCCTGGGCATGGCCAACAATAGCAGGTGACACAAGGAAGAATCTCAGTCTCTCTTCCTCTCCCTTTCTGTCTGACTACCCATGGTCCCTGCCCACAGCTTTGCTATAAGGTACAAGAGGAAGAAGGCTTCTCAGACAAACTCTCGCAGCTGCATCCCCGGGGGCCCACAGGTCATTTGTAGGGCTCTGGCCTACATTAATCATGATGCTTGGGTATGCCAAGGTGATGATCTTGTTCACCAGGATTTTCTCTGGACTGTTCTTCTCTTCACTCAGGGCGCTGATGCGGATCAGCTTGTCTGTGGACAGGTACTGGCTGTACTGGGAATAGGGGATTGTGCAGGGGTAGGTCTTCGCTAGGGAGAGAACACAAGGATAACATGAGAGTGGCGAAAAGCAGCTGGACCCGGGTTGGATAGGGTGGCTCTTGGCATAGAGGGAGAAGGAACCAGCGTGGACTGAGTCCTTATGAAGCAAAAGTTAGCTTTGCTTTTGGAGAAATGGAGATTAAGAGAGACGAAAGGGCTTGTTTAAGGTCATTCTGCAGGGAATGAATGGGTGAGCTGAGACTCCTGCTGGAACCTAGATGGCTGCCAAGCTCAGGCTGTTCCCATTAAACAAGCTGCTGTTTCTTGGGGGAAGCAGGGAATGCAGAGAAGAAAGGAGAGGAGAAGAAATGTTAGAGGGGAGGGGAGGAATATGTGTTAGATGGGATGGGAAGAAGAGTATTGGCTGCATGTCCCTTCCAAGCATGGACGTGACTGACTGCATTCAGACTGTCCCCTGCCTGGTCCAGAGCCCTTACCTTCTTCAGGTGAGAGTGTGATGAATGCTGTGTCCTGCCAGAACGGGGCCATGGGACTACCATCATGCAGCAAGGACTGGGCACTCAGGTTCACCTTGAGATCCTTGAACTGGTGTGACATGTTGATAGCCAGCAGGACCAAGTTTATGTCCTGGCCCATGTTGGGTGGGTCGACAAGCTTGAATTTCAGGGAGACCTGGGCAGCGTTGCTGGATGGTGGGGAGGATGTGTCCAGGCTCCGAGGGCTGTTCCGGCTCAGTGGCATGGGGGTGGGAAGTGGTGCAGCTGCTTCTCGAAGGTCTGGGACTCTTCTAGCCTGGAGCTTCTGTAGCGCCTTCAAGAACACCTGCCTCTCTTGCGGGGAACCTGTGAGGGTGGAGCATAGCACCATATGTGGGGTAGGTTCCCCCCAGAGGCTAAGCCTTAGCTGAACAGCCTACCCTCCACCCCTCCAGTAATACTGCAGCAATGGAAAGGTTTAAAACCCTAATTTTCAAAAACAAATGCTGTTTCCCGTTGATAAAGGCTTCCTAATAGTCAGGCTCAGCCGAGAACTCCCTACCTTTCTTTCTTTCTTTTTTTTTTTTTAATTGGAAAGGCAGATGTACAGAGAGGAAGAGAGACAGAGAGGAAGATCTTCCATCCGATGATTCACTCCCCAAGTGACTGCAATAGCCGGTACTGTGCCTATCCAAAGCCAGGAGCCAGGAACTTCTTTCCAGGTCTTCTACAGGGGTCTGGGGTCCCAAGGCTTTGGACCATCTTTGACTGCCTTCCCAGGCCACAAGGAGGGAGCTGGATGGGAAGTAGAGCTGCTAGGATTAGAACCGGCGCCTATATGCGATCCTGGTGTGTTCAAGGTGAGGACCTTAACCACTACGCTATCGCATTGGGCCCCACTCCCTACTTTCATACTTGTACCAACCATGAGAGAGATGTCATTCATCGGTATTATTTTTCCACATACAAATGGGGATGAGGAGGATCAGAGAGATCATGTTACCTGCCCATGTTATGCAACTAGCAAGGAGTCGAATCGAGGTAGAAACCTAGTGTGTCTGACTAAAAACGCTTGTCTGTGACCATGACCACTTGACTCTATTCTGATGCCCTCCAGGGAAGGACAATGGCCCAACAAATGCAGGAGAATAGCCTCTTAAAAACAGAGGGGCATGGTGTCCACTGAAGTATAACCCAGTCCCTTCCAAGTCCCCCTGGAAACTGTGGGGACCTCTGTAGTAACTGCTGCCAGTGCCCTTCCAGTGTCCCCATGAACCTTGCCATCTTGGTGCTCCTACTCAACCTCTGACGTCTTCTCCACCACTAGAGCAGACTTGGCCCATGCACAGGACAGACTTGGCCCATGCACAGGTCAGGGCGGAAGTGCCAGGAGTTGACACCCCTGAGGAACCACTCAATTCTTAGCTAATATGTATCAGTGGATAATTACCCTTGTGTGCCTGCCTTTTTCACGTGATAAACTTGTGGCATCATTTTACACTCAACACTGGGTCCCCTAGTAGGGTTGTCAGATTCAGCAAATAAAAATGCAGGCCCCTTTAATCTGAACTTTAGAGAAACAACAAATTTTATGGAACATATTGCTCTTTTCCCTTCCTGTTTCACTTCTTCACTCTCCTACAGATATTTCTTGAGGTTGCTTGCAAAATTAACCACCGACGTTAGAATCCTTGCCCAGGGCAACCCAGTCTAGGTACCTGCAGTTGATGAGGGGATAGGAGGAAGACACTGCTGGACTTTGTCCCTCCCCTCTCAGGTTCAGATTCTGGAACCTCTCCCAATTACCCTGGAGTCCCACATAGAAAAAGCGCAGACTCCAACTCATCAACACTCACTCAGCTTCCCCCATCCTTTCTGCCTTCCTCTAGATCAGCTGCTGCCCTTGCCAACCCCAGTGCTGACCCCTGACCCTGCTTGTGGCCCTCTTTGTTTGGGCCCTTAGTGCTTGACCCCAGAGATGAACTGACCGCCTTCCATTTCTAGCAATACATCCATACTTCACCCAGTTAGTCTTCCCTTTGGCCTTCCTGGCAGGGTTAAGTAGCCCCTGCTATGGCTGCCACCGCCTGGGAATAAAGCCTCTGGCTCTGCTGACTCTTCAGGAAATGGACTGGGAAAGGACCAGCTGGACCTTACATTGGGTCTAAGGGGAGTCTGGCTGCTGGTATTCCAAATACCAGATAAAAAAGAATGAAATCAGTGAAGTTAGCACCAGTGACCTGAAATCAATGAAGTTAGCACAATTAACCAAGGCAGCAGATTGATTTGTGGAGGGGAAGGCAGGGGTAGAGAACTGTTTTATCACCAACATGAACACCTTATGACTGGTGCAGGGTGTGTGTGTGTGTGTTTACACAGACAGTGGGGACACTGGGCCAGGACCTCATGCCCAGCTGGCAGCCGCCCTCTGGCCCCGGAGTGGCCGGGGAGGTGCCTGATGACCGCCTCGCACTCTGAGGTGGGCTGCTCTGAGGTACCTTCTTCATACTTGTAGCTCTCAGTGACGTCATCCCGCTCGTCGCTGCGGACGCCCTTGGTGCTGAGGAAGCTGCCGACGGCGTTGGTGGTGCTGTGCAGTCTCTGCTCTTTCCCTCCGTAGACGAGCCAGGACACGCAGTCGGCGTTCACCATGGAAAATGCAAAAGGCGTGTCGTACTTGAGGTCCACTTCCCCTTCCTTAATGGCCCTGACGGACGCAGGCCCGCAGCAGTAGAGGCCTGAGGAGAAACGCGAGAAGCCCCAGGTGGGTGGGGCGAGGCCCTGGTGGAGCGGCCGCTTGGGCACGGGAGCGCTTTGCTTCCGGGAGCCTCACCATTGCTGGTCTCCTGAGGCGTGGCGTCCAGTAACTGCCAGCCCCCATAGCCAGGAGGGAGGTCCCTGCGGGCCATCCAGCACTCATTCCACACGTGGTAATTCCTGAGGGGAGAGGGCAACCGAGTCTGTCATAGGAGGTTAAGGGGGAGGTTGCCCAGCTCATGTTTTTCACTTCCACTTACTTGAGACAGCAATAGGAAGACAAACAGAGTGGAGGGGGAGGGGGAGCGGACAAGAGAGGAAGAAATTTTTTGTCTGCTGGTTTACTCTTCTGTGCTGTGACTATAGTGCAAAGGTTCCCAAAATCTGTGGAAGCTGCAAACCCTTCCTGCTCCCCGCCCCCCAACCCCCACACATATACCAGAGGACCCTGTGGGCCTTTTCTATGTGTATTGTTGGGGACTCCAGAGCCCATCTGGCCCCCAACCCTGTCACTTTGCATCCAGAATTCAGACTAGGGGCCTTCCTGTGCTCAGAGCTCCGAGGCTGAGAACTGGATGGAGGTGACCGAGGGGGAAGCTCAGTGCAGGGCAGAGAGCTGTTAGGATGTGAAGATTCCAACCCCCAAATTTAATATCTTGTCAGCTGCCTTTCTACCCTTTGTTGGAGCTCAAAGGAGTGGTGGGGGCTTAGCCAGCAGCAGACTGTGGCCCCCTGCTTGGGGTGGGGGCGGAAGGGTTTGACTTGGATGTATGGTGCTAGGGATGGACTGGAAGGTTCTCTTACCAGATGCTATCCTTCTTCTTGTTGTCCAGAATCCTGCCTGTGCTGTCGTAATACTCATCTATGACCAGGTTTCCATCTGTGTCGTGGCCAGAGTCAAAGTTGGTGATCACACGGGTGGGGATCCCAAGGCACCGCATCACTGCACAGAAAAGGCAGAAAAATCGCCCCAGGGACTGTGGGCTTGGAACACTGCAGACTCCTGGCCTGAAGGCACATCTGCTGCACACCAGGCAGGAATTGCCTGAACATGGGGTTGATGACATTTTCCACCTCTAGCCCATGTCCTGAGTCCACGGAGAAGACTATGCAAATGTTGGAATGCTGGCCGCTCAGACAAGCATTGCCAGACGGAGCTGACAAAAAGCCGTGGCATCTCCAGGCCACACCAGCAAGGCAGGATCCACCCGTCACCTCCACTGGTGAGACTCAGGGGCCTAACTCAATCTCACTTCTCTCCTGACTGTGGAATCTCCATCTTCAACCCAGACAGCTGGCAATTTCTTCCTTCCTGTTCTTAGGAGCATTGGCTGAGGCCATTGGTTTCTCAGGCAAAATGTTCTGACACTTGGATTCCCACACACCTTCCCCTAGATGTGTGATTTTGGAAGCCTCTCAAAGAAAATGTCACAGATGGAGCCAGGCATGGAAGGAAGCTGGGGTACAAAAACTTAAGGAAGTGAGAGTGTGCCCCTGGGAGGGCAAGCCTGGAAGGGACCGAGGAGCTGTTGTCTTTACCCCTAAGGGGCATCCATTCCTTCTGCTGGCCAGCTTCCTCTCTTCATCCTCTGCCAAAATTGCTGTGCACTGTCCTGTGAAGTATAGCCATGTTGCTGCCATCAAATGCCCCAGGGATCCCTGTGTCCTCAAGTCTAGCAGTGATGACCCACACAGGTTAGGACTAATCTTAACTACAAGGTATACCAGCCAGCCAAAGTGTGATGTGTTTTGCCTGTGTTATCTTTAGGACTACATCACCTGGCAGCTGCAATTATCTCCACTGTGAAGACATCACATCAGAAGCTGAAAAAAGTCACACAGCTGGTAAGGAGCTGAGCTATCACTTAAGTCCTGATATCACTGCTGAGCTTGTAATTAATACTGAACCCACTTCAAGCATTCTAGTATTTTCACCTAATTGTGCATCACATAAATTTCCCCATGTTATCTAATATTTACCCAAAGTAAGATTTCTAGTAGTGGTTATTTTTTAGGCATTTTACTAGTTTTCAGTTTTTCTGCTATTGTGGATAACTCTGCAATGCATATCTTTATAGATAAATCCCAGCCCCACACCCACCCTGGCAACAAATTCCAAGAGGTAAAATGACTACGTAAAAAAATACTTGCATTTCTGGGACCAGCATTATAGTGTATCTGATTAAACCTCTGCCTGTGATGTGGACACCAGTTCAAGACCAGGATTCTCTACTTCTGATCAGGCTCCCAGCTAATGGCCTAGGAAAGCAGCAGAGGATGACTCAAGTGTTTAGGCCCCTGCTTCCACAAGGGACACCTTTCTTTGATGGAGTTCCAGACTACTGTGTTCAACCTGACCCAACTCTGGCCATGTGGCCATTTGGGGAGTGAATCGATGGATGGAAGATTTCTCTTCCACTCTCTGTAATCTGTCTTTCAGATAAATAAATCTTTAAAAATATATAGGTATTTCCAAGGGTTCTCACACATACTATTATCACTTGTTTTGGAATCAGATGGGTTGTAATCATAATTTTCAAAATTGGTTTTTATATTTGCTTTTTTACATGATTTACCTAAAAGGAGAGAAATAACACCCATTCACTAGCTCACTGCTCAAGTATCCACAAAAGCTGAGCTGTGCTGGAATGAAACTGTAATGTGGAGACTCTATCCAGGGCTCCCACGTGAGTGTCAGGGTGTCAAATATTTGAATCCTCACCTGCTGTCTTCTATAACCTGCATTATAAGGAAGTTGGAGCTGGAGGCAGGTATTGGGTATATGGGATGTGGTTGTCTGGACCCCTAGGCCAAACACCTCTTCCCATTCTCAACATCTTTAAGAAAATATTTATACATTTTAGTTGAAATGTTTCATTGTCCACAGATTTTAGTTTCAGTTCATTCTGCATTTTAGCAAAAAACCACTGCAGGCAAGCATGGAGAGTGAGAAAAGAGGGATGCCTTGAGCTCTCCTGAGAGAGGCAGGTCTGAACAGGGCTAAAGAACTAGGCCAGGCAGTGGGCAGAGCTGATAAATGAATTACAGACAGAGGTGACACAGAGCAGCTGCTGAGGGGAGGGTGAAGGTTGAAAAGCTGCCAGTGAAGAAATAGGATATGGGAATGAGGTAAGAAATAGGCATTGTGTGGACATACTTATGCTAAAAGTGTAGTCAGAAGGATGAGCGACACACAGAGCAATGAGAGAATGTGTCCAGGATGAGTGGGCAGAGAGAGAGAACAGGGAGATATATCCCACCCTTCACTGATCAGTTCAGGAATGGCCTCTAGAAGTGTCAAGGGTGGGGCCAAATGTGATTGGAGGATGCTTTTCCACCCTAATAGAGGTCACTGGTCTGGTGGTGCTTTGAAGATCTTGCTTAGATCAGAGCACTTGGTGGGAGACAAGGTGTTTATGTACCTGCCTTTCTGAAGGCAGGAATTGTGTGTTGTTGGTCATTACTGTGGCAGGGCCTGTTTTGCAGATACTTGCTGCATCTTCATTGGATGGCTAACTGTGTGAGGTCTTGGAACTCTTTGCCTATTTTGGTGGTTGGCAGCTTGAACACAGCTCTGTGTGCTCATCTGTCTGTAGAGCACAGGCTTTGACGATGATGGATTTGCACTGTTGCTTTTTTACTTGTGAGAAGCCCTTGCTGGGGGACAGACTAGCCAAGTGGGACAAGATGAAGCTGTAGAGGATCAAGATGGGGTTCTTATACAGGGAGGTGAAACCAAAGCGTTCCTATCAAGATCATGATACTCAGAGCATCACAAAGTCATGCCTGTATGTGTTTCCTGGAGACTTAAAAGAGCTCATTTAATCTCTAGCATCCGATTTCACTCCTATCCCCATGACTCATGAATATGAATAATGTTTTAGAAAAATATACTTATTTGAAAGAGAGAGAGAGAGAATGAGAGATGTCTTCTCTTCATTGATTCACTCTCCAAATGGCCAGAATGACCAAGGAGGGGCCAAGCTGAAGCCAGGAACCAGGAGCATCTTCTGAGTCTCCCATGTGGATGCAGGGCCCAAGCACTTGGGCCCTCTTCTGCTGCTTTCCCTGGGTCATTAGCAGAGAGCTGGGTCTGAAATGAAGTAGTTGGGACTTGAACCAGCAACCATATAGGAAGTTGTAGCAGGTTGTAGCTTAACTTGCTATGTTACAATGCTGGCCTCCAACAGGCCTTAATCCTAGGTGGAGAATTCACTGTCACTAAACATATACTCAGCTGAATTTACTGTTTTTCAGTTTTCCCAATCATCCTTTCTAGTCAAGACATCAAGGTGCCAATCTCTACGCAGCTAATCTCACATAATCCTTTCCACACCCCTCTGATTATCTCGTTTATCAATGAAACACATAAAGCTTAGAGATTATGGTACAGAACAGGGTCCATAGAGCTGTGAGAAATTTCAAGAGGCCAGAAAAAGAGTAAGGAGGCCTTGCAGGACACTCGGCATTGGGTAGAGTCCTCTGAAGTTGTGACTTAATTGTGGGCTAAGTCAGGCTTAACGACTTCTCTGAAGCCACTGTAACAAAACCTAAAACCAAAAAACCTAAACCACTGTAACAAAACCTAAAACCTCCAAATAGGTGATTGACCCATTAGATGGGAGTTCTTTGTCTACCTCTCAAATAATTTTCTTTAAAAAAAAAAAAAGCCCACAGAACATGTAAGGAAACAAAAAGATATGACCCATAACCTGGAGAAATTTAATCAATGAGACTAGATCCAGAAATGACAGATGATGGAATTAGCAGGCAGCAACATAAAATGAGCTATTTTAAATATTGTAAGTATGCTGAAGAGGAAAAAGAGAAAATATGAACATAAAGAGAAGAGAAATGTAAGGAAAAACAAAGCGGTTGGGTGTTCACTCTTCTGGTTAAGATGCCCACATTGTTTGTACCTGGGCTTCATGTCTGGCTCTGATTCCCAATTCCAGCCACCTGCCAGTGCACATCTCAGGTCATTTGGTCTCTGCTACTCACACAAAAGACCTAGATTGAATTCCAGGACCCCAACTTTGACCCAGTCCAGTCCTGGCCATTATAGGCATTTGGGGAGTGAACCAGCAGAGGAAAGTTCCATTTATCCTTTCTCTCTCTCTCTCTACCTCCACTCCTACCTCCCTCCCTCCTTCTTGCTCCCTTTTGAATGAATGAACAAATAAAATAAAAAAAAACACACGCACCAATGGAACTTCTAAAGAGATAAAAGTATGTTCTATGACACTAAAAAAAATACTGAAAAGAATAAAACAATACGTTTTCAATTAGAAAACATTCAACAACAATGTTACATATTAAATGTATTAAATGTTAACCTATTGGAGGAGGAGAATGATAATAGGTTATGAGAGAAAATGGGGAAATTGATTTGTCGTTTTTGAAAAGAGAGGTGTGGGGATAGGTGTTGTGGCATAGTACTTTAAGCTACTGTCTGCAATACCCACCTCCCATCTGGACACCAGTTTGTGTCTGACTGTTCCACTTCCAACTCTCTACGAATGGCCTAGGAAAAGCAATAAGAGATGACCCATTTATTTGTCTGCCACCCACATGAGAGACACATATGGAGCTCCTTGGCACCTGGCTTCAGCCTGACCCAGTCCTGGTAGTTGCAGTCATCTAGGGAGTGAAGCAATGGATGGATTTATTTATTTATTTAAAATAGTTACAGAGAAAGAGAGCACACAACTGAGAATGTGAGCTTTAGAGAGTGAGAGAGAGTAAGACAGAAAGAGCTCAAGCTGGCCTACTGCCCAAATTGCCACACAGCCAGGACTGGGTTAGCTAACGTCGGATCCAGGAGCTCTATCTGGGGCTCTCATGTTAGTGGCAGAACTCAAGCACTTACTCCATCATTTACTGCTTTCCGGGCACATAGGCATGGAACTAGTAGAGAAGTGGAACAGCTGAGACCCAAACCAGTGCCCATATAGGTTGCTAATATTACAGGCAATGACTTTAAATACTATATCACAACACCAGCCCAAATTAATAAATCCTTTAAAAAAAGACACAGATCTGAAGCAAACCAATTATGGTTGTGCTGGGGAATGAGGAATATTCCTAACTTAACTGTAAATAGTCCAAGAAAAGAAGGAAACAAAGAGGGCAAATGTGGCAAAGGACATAGCAATATAATTGGAGGAATGACTAAAAACGCCTTTTGAACAAGTCCCAGAAATGTTCTGGAACCTAAGAAGCAGAGAATGCAACAGTCCTAGACTAATTACAGCAGCTAACACTTAGTTAAGCATGCTGTTTGCCAGACATCTTTCTAAACACTTGTCACATATTAACCAACAACCCTCATAGGGAACATTCCATACAATGTGGATGGCTCATAAATCAATGGAAAATAACGGTCAGTTTGTGCTTAAGCCAGGAATTGCACAAAGGAGCACTTGGACCAGGATCTAAAGAAAACTTAGGCTAACATGATGCACCAGTGCCTTGGCTGAGGTTCCCTCTTGGAGATGCAGGGCTTGGTGAAAACAATGAGAACAAGAGTTATTGTATTGAAGTGAAGATTACAGAGATCACTACCCAGCTGAGTTAGAACAAAATCTTAGATTGGGGGTTTCAAAAAGGTTTCAAGCAGAGACATTACTTAGAAGACCAGTCCTAAGTGAGGTTCCCATAGACCTGAGACATACAAGAAGGGTTTCTTTGGTTGAGCTGTAAAGGTTTAGGCCTGACCCTAAAGCTTCCCATCTCCCACACTGGCTCCCATCCAACTCCCCAGTGCGTCTCCCAGGACCCAGTGCTCTGTTTTGGAGAGTGGAGGATGCTGCCCACAGGCCTGCTCATGGTCACACATTAGTGTC